ATGAGCCATACACTTTCTTCAGAGCTTCCTGTTCCTTCCTTAAGGTCTCTCTCTCTCCCCACACCTCTCTCTTCCTCTCCCCCTGCTGCCCCTCCTCTCCACTTTTTCGAGCCACTTCTCCAAGTCATCTCAGGCAAATGCCCAAAGAACAAAAAGCAAAGCAAGTATTCTTCACAGCTGTTGGGAGCAATCAGAACTGTCAGAGGCCCACTTTATGACTGCCATAGCAGGCAGAACAAAACATCTTCTGTCTTTCCTCTTCCCTAGGAGTGCCCCCCTGATCAATTCTCCGAAGCATATCCCTCTGCCTCCACCCTGCTGAAGGCCAGAAAACCAGCTGCTCTTCACAGCTGGATTTAGTAAGCTGAACCGTGTCAACTCCTTAGTGTTCAGTAGCACAGACATTTTTTTCCGCCCACCTGGGGCCTGACATTGTTTACTTAGCTGCAGAGTGGCTGACAACGTGCTCTGCATAGACTATTAAGCCATTGTAGAAAGTGTGTTGACTGGTACCTTTTGATTTCAAGTACATGACATGTTACAGAGGGTAGGGAAGAAGAATCAGCCAACAATTTGCAGCCAACATTGCAGGTTTACACCATAAAGAACTTGGAGTCAGTATGATTTGAATGGATAATGCGCACACAAGCTAGCCACGGTGCACATCTGTCTGGCATTGTGGAAAATGTGCACCTATTGAGAGGGTGAGTGGGGAATTGTGTACTTTGTCTACTCCATCTGCATAACCTCAAGTCATAATTTGAGGATGTGTTACATAACTTGCCAGCACATGTCACAGTTTCTAAGTGGAGAATGTACATATTGACTAGGCAATGCCTTAAATCACGGGTAGGCAAACTTAGGCCCGGGGGCCAGATCCGGCCCAATCACCTTCTATTAGTGCTTAAATATATCAGAATCCAGCAGATGGAAACCTGGATGTGATGACAAAGAAGGCACTGCAAAACAGAAGTACAGGTTCAGATTTTGTCATTCACCTGTCTTCCAGGTCCTTCCTCTTCCCCAGCACCCCCACTAATTCAATTCAAACTCCTCCTTTTATTTGGGTTTTGAAGTAATGTGGATTTAGGATTTATTTATTCTCGTCTTCTTTTTTTTGCAAATATGATACAATAAAATACAGAACACTAGATGCGGATATGAAACTATAAGAAAAGAAACACACACACACTTATTTAATTTATGAAAAGTTCTATGGATCTTCTACACTGGAGTCTGCAATGTAAGGTAGCTGCCTATGTTAAAGATTTCCTTCCCAATTCCTGTGGTAGACAGACATGTTTCTATTGACATAACACTAAGATTTCTTTTTCTTTTTCAAAATGAGTCGTGGGATTAATGGAACATTATATTATTTACAAGAAACTGCCTGCCTGGGCCAGCCTTATCATCGTCCTCCACGAATGCAGCTTTGGCACTCAGCAACCTGCTGTTACTCTTTGAGAAGAGCCTTTGAAGATAAAATTGCTCTTCTCCATGGAGACCTTGATGCTGCTCTGACTGCAAATCCATCTGAGGTATCCAGTGGTATATCCAATTCTCATTTGTGGCATCAAGTGATGCACTCTAATGATGTGGACGAGGTGCTTGTAGGAATGAGGCTGACCAGGTTCCATCCAGACCATTGCCCTTCTTGGCTGATTGCTAGAGGGATGTGTGTGTTCATTGGATGGGTCCAAGGTGTGGTGAATGCATCTCCAGTGTGGTGTAGTGGTTAAGAGCGGTAGTCTCGTAATATGGGGAACCGGGTTTGCGTCTCCGCTCCTCCACATGCAGCTGCTGGGTGACCTTGGGCCAGTCACACTTCTTTGAAGTCTCTCAGCCTCACTCACCTCACAGAGTGTTTGTTGTGGGGGAGGAAGGGAAAGGAGAATGTTAGCCGCTTTGAGACTCCTTAAAGGGAGTGAAAGGCGGGATATCAAATCCAAACTCCTCCTCTTCTTCTTCTTCTTCTTCTTCTTCTTCTTCTTCTTCTTCTGTATAGGGAAGTGGTGCCTGCTGCCCTTAAGGAGGCATAGTATTACCAACCTGGAAATGTCCACCCTGGGTTCAATAGTTTTAGACAACTATCACCCTGTCATTAACACCCACTTTTCGAGCAACATAATTGAGACAGTTGTGGCAGCACAACTGAAAGTATTGTTGGAGGCTATTGGTTATCTAGACCAGGTGTGATGAACCTTTGGCCCTCCAGATGTTGCTTAACTACAGTTCCCACCAGACCCAGCAAACATAGCCAATGGCCAGGGATGATGTGAGTTTCCCAATGCTGATCTAGACCCATTTCAGTCAAGGTTCTGATCTGATGGTTTTGGCTATCATGGTGGATGACCTTTCTCAAGAGAGGGATAGATGGAGCATGACTGTGTTATTCTGATGCAATCTCTCAGTAGTTTTTTTTATACCATTGAGCACTGTCTCTTTTTGGACTGACTTCGCAAGATAAAAATTGCAAGCAGTGTTCTTCAGCGATTCTCCTCCTACCTGCAGGGTTGGTTTCAGAGAGTAGCATTAGAGGACTGCCTATTGGCACCACCACAACAATGCTTTGTGGGTCCCAAATCTTGCCCCTGTACCGTTTAACTATATGAAGCTGTTAGGTCTCAGCATTAGTACGCTGATGACATCCGGTTCTGTTTCTCTGTGACATATGAATCAGGTGAGGTTGTCCAAGCCCAGAGCCAGGGTCTGTAAAATTCAATATAGTTTTTGTGAAGCGCCCACACAGTTTGCACATATATCAGGCTGCAAACAAGGGAGGAAAATGCATCATTGCTGGTAATGGAAAATGGAATTTCTCTCCTAATCTTAATACACTCTATGAATAGCAGAGCAGCTCTGTTTGCAAGCTGGAAAAGCTAGAGCAAAATGGCCCCATCATTTCGATACAGATAGAAAACAAAATGGGATGCTGCAATTGCAATCCCCCGTTACTTGTGTGCCCTCATTTGATTCACTCAGATGACTCAACCCCACCTCCTCAGCTATATTCATAGTCCTCATTTGGAAAATTTAATTTACTCATGTCTCAGAGCAAGCTGGCGATGTGATAGAGCACAAATGTCAAGAGAACTGAAATGCGCGAGGCTGCTGGTAATGCCTCAAATTCCCACACCCAAATTCCTACTTCCTCATATTCATGGCAAATGCCTTTTCTTGCAACAATAAGAATGAGGTGGCATCACTCTTCATCATCAATGCATAAAAGTAGGGGCATAAGAAAGGAAAACGGATGAACCTAATTCATCCTTGGTGCAACTGTATTCTTTATCTTTCTGTTACAGCATAATGTGAACCAAACGCACCAAATCTTGATTTCAGCAATAATTGCAACAGGTGGTCTTAAACAAGCTGTTACTTCCTGATCTCAGTCCCATCTCTGCAAAAGAAAAATAATATTCATAGCTGACAGGATGGTTGCATGGTTGAGTATTTGTGAAATGCTTTGAACACCCCAGATCAGGGGTTGCAAAGCTTTTTTGGGCTAGTGGGCGCATTGAAATTTTGAGAAACATCACCTACATCAGTCACTGCCATGCTCAATCGCAGAGATGGAAGTGTGCATATCCAGTGTTTAAAAGGGCATGTTCAATATAGGAGAGGCCGAGCCTGTGCAAATAGAAACTGAGCAGGAAGAGTAAGCAGTCTATTTGTGCATTGTGGGTTTTTGAGGGGTATTAACCAGGGACCTTTCGCAAAGACCATAGGATGTACTGGCAGACTAGGTGACACCTGCCCTAGATCACTGTGGCCTAAACTAAAACATAAACATATGTTTGACTAGCATACCTAATTCTGTGTTGGATTTAGATCTACATAAATGATTAGTAGTATTATGCCAGGGAACTAGCACATACAGTTGTACCTTGGTTCTTGAACAGAATGCGTTCCAGGAGTCCGTTCGACTCCTGGAACCATTCGAAAACCAAGGCACAGCTTCCGACTGGCTGCAGGAGCATTCTGCAGCCAATCGGAAGCCGCGGAAGGCACACTGGATGTTTGGCTTCCAAAAAATGTTCAAAAACTGGAACACGCACTTCTGGGTTTCAGTTGTTTGGGAGCCAAGATGTTTGGGATCCAAGGTTCAACTGTACTTAAAATGCCAAGGCCCAATATAATGTAAGAAATGCAGTGTTCTATACATGAGGGTCCTGCTTTATGAACACTTGCTCTGTAAATATTCAGTTACCCAAACATGAGGCATTAGTGTCCAAATGTCACTTACACACACTGCAGATTCAGATATTGGAACAGAAAGCATTTTTTACTTCCTTGTTGGCTGAGGAACAGAGGGGGAGTGACTGAACAAATCAGAGGACATTTGGGTCCCCCCCCCCCACTTTCTATGGTTGGGAATGCATTAAAAATTTCCCCATAGTAATCAAGGGAAATTGCAGACTCCTTACGCAAACACTTGCCTAATGAACATTTCCCAGGAAACACATTGTGTTCATAAAGTGGGACCTGCGTGTATTTGATTTATCTAACGTGGAAGCCCTGTACATTACAGAGGGATTTCTAAAGAGCACACTCTTATTTACATGGGTACTGAATACTTGAACCTCATCAAAATCCTATGGTGAGCCATATTTTATAGAACTCTCACCAGAGCATGGTTCCATTTGAGGGCATAGGTAGTGTAAAAGCCATGATAGTTACATGCATTTGAAACTAGGTTGTAATGTTTTAATTAGGTAGAGCTTTTAAAATGGTGTGTGTGTCCATGCATGCACGCGCGCACACACACACACACACACACACACACACACACAGGCTTCCCAGCACCCACATGGTATAGTAATATCTCTATAGAGCTTCAAGGGTTCTGTATTTTAGTTGGCATTTAGTTTTCCATTCTATGAATTGCATCTTGAACATTGCAGATAATATTTTCACATGTTGTCTGACTTGGTGCATATAATCCTTTGAACAAAAAGTTTCAAATTCTGTTATTTTTTTACGTTTTTATTTTCTTTTTTAAAAAAAGTTCTCATATTCACATTCACAAGTTTTCCAGGCAGTTATTGCCATTTCTCATTTAGAAAAAAATGTGACTGAACAAAGCAACAGCAGCACATTGAGCCACCTGTAGACATACAAGCTAGACACACAGATCCCCTGGAAAAAAAGGACCCCAGTTGGCTTGGAAATGATGTTATTCCACAGCCAGAAATGTGTTATGGAAGAGATCAATCAATACAGGGAAAAGCAAGCCACACGACGTTCAACAAGACCACGTAATATATAAATGGATAACACTTCAATGGGGAGATGCATTGTTTGCAAGCTGCCCCCTTCCAACTTTTTCTTAAAATCTTAAAATGCAGTAAATCTAATTGCAATGAAAAGAGAAAAAGAACTTTTCATTGGATAAGCATTAAAAAAATTTCAAGCATTCCTTTACATAACCAACTGCTGTAGAACTGCCTGCTCTTTTAAAATTCCTTCTTTGCTGCTCTTTAGTGAGTGCATACTGTTAGAAGAGGAGGCAGTCATCTCTCAACAGAGGTCCAAGTCTAGAGTGGGGTGACAATATGGTCTGTGAACAACCTGTGCAGCTCCACCCATTTATTTTTTGCAGCCTGTTAGCTCAGCACTATGTCCTACACATGGCCGTTCCTGAACTGCCACTGAACCAGTCTGTGCTTTGGCCATTTGCATCAAGCCAAAATAAAGCTGTAGAACACAGGTTCTGCATTGCAGAACCCTACTTGAACTTTCAACCACGGGATTTCAGGAACAGATTAGGCAGTGTGGAAAATGTGTAGCCTTCCTGATGTTGCGGGACTATAACGTTCATCACCTCTGATTTGGTCATGCTGTCTGAAGCTCATGCCAATGCAGATGTCCAACAACACCTGGAAGGTCAGCAATCCACCCCCCCCACCGAGTAACAGTACATCTGTGCACACCATCAGCCTGAATTTGACTATACTTCACTCAAAGGGTAGGTGCAACATGGCCACCATATGCCAGCCAAACAGTTCTACTGGTACCATTTTGGAATATGTGTTGCTACATCCAGTTACAGAGTTGGTAGGGTTCTACTATAGTGTTCGGGGCTGAAATAGAACACAGCAGGTGTCCCCAGTGGAACAGGGGAAACGTCTTGTGTTTTGATAGGACCATGGTGTTTTAAGAATGAAACATCCCCTGGAAATAAGGCATCTCTGGAAACACAAGCTGGATTCAACTGGATGAGAAAGAGTGGAACCCCTATGATGTTGAAGCCTTGGGACATGCACTACCTCGTTTTGCTATCCAGACTAGAAACTGACAAGCACCCAAGGCCTCTGGGGAAGGATAAACCTGACCCCAGTTGTACAGCAGTAAGCAATGGTCATTGGATGTGGGAAGAAAGAAGTCTTCTGCTTCTACCTTCTAACCCACTTGCAGCCTATGGTGTAGTACATATTAAAAACACACAAAACAGCCAAAAGCAAACATTCAAGTTTCTGCCATCACCGAAATGTCAGTGTTTGCTTCTTTTGTAAATTGTGCTTTTCATTACAGCTCTGCTTTCCTGACACAGCTGTTTATTGCTTACACTTTTAAAACAAGGCTATAATTAAAAGAGAGGGAGGGAGACAGCAACGGAGAAGCAATCAGACCAGACTGACTTTATGTGGCGTTCTCTCTACCCCAGCGTAGTCTGGAAGTATAGTAGTGGGTGCACAAACAGTCCAGAATTTATTCTTAAAAAACCCTTAAACAGTGCACAACTTTTCTTTTTTAAAAAAACATTCCTTCTTTTGAAAGCCTGATCTAGCCAGTGTCCATACACTTATGTTCTCAGCCATAACAAAGGGCATCTACTTCTGGGAAGAGGAAGAATTATCTTCTAGTTCAAAGCACAAGCCTAGGACAATTTGAGCTACAGCAGGAGTTGGCTAGACTCAGCACAAGTTAACAACCTGAAATGGCATAGCTATCCCCCAAACTTAAATGCACTGAACAAAGACTCCATCTCAATGTAAAATGACTTTCCCCCCTTCCAGGTATAGACAGCCCCTCAAGTGTCCAGTTCCAGGTGAAATTCATGAGGTCCTCTGTATTGCATGTAGGTGAAATGTATCATTATACTCTTTACCAGGCTCATGGGACTGTATTGTCTCTTGTTCCCAGGAGGGTCCAGCAGGATGAAGACGCAGCAATATTTAGCTGGTGGACAGGTGAGTGAATGGGCACGGAATTCAAAACTGAGGTAGGAAAAGCAAAACAGGAGCCTTCGAAGCTTTTGCCCAAAGCCAGCTCTTCGGTGAAGAAAGACACAGCATCCCTTTTGCAAGAGGCAACAGGAGGGCTGGGAGTCGAGGACAATATTTCTGACTCATACTGTAGCAGCTGGCCCATGAAGCCAAAGTTTGGTGAGATCAGACTCCTACGTTGCTTGATGTAATCAAAAGCCTCCTCCAGGCGGAACTTTCTCATTTTCATCAGATACGCCATACAGATAGTGGGAGAGCGGGAAATTCCAGCTTCACAATGCACCAAGATCTTACCCCCTGCCCGTCTGGTGCAATCTAAAGAAAAAGAAGAACAGAAGAGGGTGGTGGTGATGCATTGAATATGTTAGCTGTCACTATAAGTGGATTCCCACAATGGCAGCATAACATTCTGCAAACAGTAGTCCAAAAGAGGTAGTGGGCTGACAGGTGTTCCACAAATGGAATTAATGTCAGAATGCCGGAGGAGAAAATTTCCACTTTATTCACTAACACTGGCTGAAGCATTTAACGCATTTGTTCAAATAACAAAACTTAATAGCTATACGGTAGATTAATCACATTTGGATAAAGTTAAGAGGTTTGCCTTCCCCTCATCTAGCCGAACTATGGCAACAGATGTGTAATAAGGCAAATACTACAATGCCACAAAAGAATTGAATTCACAGTTAGGTTCTTTTCGAAAGCAGCACAGACCTTGCGACAAAAGGTGTGGGCTTGCTGCATGTTCCCTCCCATCTGATGAGGAGATGTACCTATTTTTCCATTGGGTAAGAGCATGAAATGTACTGCTTCTGTCCCCACCTTTTGTGGGCCTTTTTGGTAGACACTCAGCATGCATTTTGAGCAGGGATGTAAAGTCCCTGGGTTCCTGGGGTTTCTACCACAAAATGCACAATAAAGTAGCCTAACATCTCTAATTATAACCCTTGATAAGTGGCACTTGGATTTAAGTCAGGCTATAAATGGCTGAGGCAGAACCACCATTTTACGCAACGGGAGGCCCCCAAGTTACTCACACAATTCAATTATTGTTATAAGATTAAAAGGAAAATTCTGAAAATAAGCTCCTTGTGCAAAACGCGTTGATTAAAAATAGAACTTGCCCTATTTGGCTGGCGTGAGAAATATATTACCCACATTTCATCTTACTGCATTCTGCTCTGGGTCACATCCTCAAAGGCATGCCGTAATAATTGAAGTATCCATCTATCTTAACATTTCTTGAATCCTCAAACTTCTCATCTTCAATATGGAGCTACTGTTTCATATATTTTAACATAATCATTATTTTAATGCTTGTTAATGCAATAATGTGTCCTGAACTGCTTCCTGCTACCAAGCTTAGGGTACAGTACTGTATTAACAGACATTAAAATAATAGTACTTGCACTAAATGCAAAGCACTTAACATTTTCAGTAATTCTCACAACAACACTATGAGGTAGGTCAGCTTTGTTAAACCCATACTGAAGTTGGGGGACAGAGACAGTGGCTAGCTTTAGGAACAAAATTTGAACCAATGATTTCCTGGTTTACGGCTCCTTGCCATTCTGCTCAGGTAGATTGGAAAAAGCTGTTGTTTCTCCTTTAAAAAAATGGACAAAAAAGCAAGGTCTCTGTAGAACCATGCCTACAGGTGTGTGTAGCTTTTTCTTAAGCAACGGACAGAGTTACACTGCTTGTGGCACATTGGCAGACATAGTCATTTCTATCATTTAGTAATCCTGCCCTCTCTACATATCTCAAATAGCCCTGGGTCAGAGGTCAGCACCCCAGACTCTTCTTTTCCAGTCATGCACATTAAATACTCCTTCCCTTGTCACAGAGAATGCCTTGCTTCACCACCCGTCCCCGCTATGCAGCCTCACTTACAGTACGCTTGCATGTTTGCCGGCTGAAAGATGCATCTAGCCCACAGAGGCCTATGCCACAGTAGTTTTTCTGTAGTTTATACCTCACCTTTCCTCAGTTAGCTCAAGGCGGGTAGCAAAATGAGTTTAACACACTGAAATCATTTTTTTCTTCTTCTTTTTTTAAAAGCCTCCCCCCTTATATATATGGGGCTACTGGTCAGGGATGATGGGAATTGTAGTCCAAAAACAGCTGGAGACCAAAGTTTCGGAAACCCTGCTCTACAGCCATTTATCACGCAAAGCTTCCCTGTAATGAAATATTTTAACCACCCTACAGAAGGGGCAGGAAGGAGATGCACCTCCTGGTAAGTGAGAGAGCTGCGAAGCCTTATCACAGGTTCTGGAAGGGCTTTTTCCTTAGCCCCAACAAAACGTATTTCGGGACATGCGGTTTGGTCTCTGATGGCGGCCTCCATAGAGGTCAGTATTATCTTCAATAGAGAAATACACCTACCAATAAATTCTATTGCTTCCTGGAAGTGTGAGCTGATGTCTGCTGTGTGATTGTCCTCCACTGGAATCCATTTATAGCAGTATTGATCCGTAAAGGGCTCGGAGCTCTTCCTGGAGACGTTCAGGAGTGCTGTAATGTTCAGATTGGCTAGGGACTCGCACTTGGAAGCATGGTAGGCACTGCCAAGGTACAGGAAAGGAAGGATCTCCACTGGGCCACCCTGGAAGGCAAGGAACCGCATATAATTATAGGCTCTCGTTTGCTGTTTTTTCTTCCACACACACAGAGACGCAGTAGAACACAGACAGCAGGGGCTGAGCTTTGGACAATTTTAGGGTGTTTTCCAGACATCACTGAGATCAGAGCTGTAGCACCCAGACAGGAAGTACTTTGCAAGAGGTGCAGTTTCTGCTGCGGGGGTAGAATTACTGTTGTGGTCTTGGCACAATGAGAGCTTTGCCAGTCCTGCTACTTCCGTACTGGCAGGAACTGCCCCTTATGACCTGTGGGTTGTGAGCAATGCAAAGACTCTGATAGGGAGTCCTGGTCAACCACTTATCCACCCATATAGGCTAACATGGTAGCTCACCAGCAAACCACTTTAATAGAAGACTCCTTACGAAAAATCACCGGATTTGGTTTTTCTCATTCACATTTGCCACGTGTGGTATCACGAGCAATTTCACTCGTGGGTTTCCTTATGCCTCCCTCCCCCCATGAAGCACACACCAAAAGGATTTTTACTTGTCCCTTCCGTCACCATGCAGGGGCATGTTTTTTCCACAGCATCATACTAAAAATGTAGACACAAAGCCTGTTCAGTGTCTCTTGACGGAGCCTGGTAGGCATGATGTACTTTAACCAGAAGCTTCAAAGGTATCTTGACAATACTATGCACTGTGTGCATTTGTTTTAAAGTTCAGTTTGAAAGAAAAACATGAACACATTACTGGGCTTAGCATGACACTCTTTTCATGCGTGCCTAATTAATAATTGCAGGATGGCAGCTGGCATGTGCCTCCTCTGACTTCAAGCTGTCTTAGCCTCCCAAAGCAGAATCAGCATGGGGCCCTCAGCCCTGCCACGTCAGAAACACAACACTCTCCCCTGCTGCTCTCAGCCACTCAAGTCTTCTCCCCCTTTGTGAATAGAAGGCGATAAACAAGAAAAGAAGCTACATGCTAGAAAACGTCAGAGCATTATATTTAGTGCCCAGAAAACCAAGCCAAGGCACCATTCATATTTCATAAGGTGTCGGAAAACCTCTTTTTAATATATCTTTGGGAATACAAAGTATGCCATGCGTAACAGATCCCATGTGGGCGAGTGGTTGCGCATGTCAAGGCTAGGACTGGGAAGTCCCGGGTTCATATCAACTCAGCCTTGAAGCTGACTGGAGGTGACCATGTGTCTGCCACTCTCAGCTAAACAACCCCAAAGGGATGGTGTGGGAATAAAATGGGGAGAAAAACTGTTATAGGAGTTCCTAGGAATAAATGTGGGATAGAAATGTAAATACCACTATTAAGTTCTGCAGAATATAAATACTTAGGTAGAAATATTTTCCATTCCTAGTCTTTCTGAAGAAAATATTTTACCATTTAGAGATGAAAAGGGGAAGAACAGGCCCCAGCAACAGGTGCAGGTGGTGGGAGGGAATACTAAGGGAGCACATTGTGTATGTGAGTGTATATATACTTCCAATAAATAGAAGAGCTGGCTTGCAATGGGAGGGAGAAGTAAGGTGATAAATCCCCACTCAGCTTGAAAGGTTGCTGGGTGAACCCTTGGCCATATGCAGTCTCTCAGGCTAAACTACCTTACAGGACTGTTGTGAAGGAGTGAAGCATGTATAGCTCCTTGAAGGAAAGGTGTGAACAGGAAGGTGTCACTATACAGTTCTTAAGAGTTACAAACTCTTTACATATTAGGGAAGAAGAGGAGGGGAAACAATAGGTGGCTTTGACGGCATCTATCTCTCTTAGTTTTAAGGCCACTTGTCTTCAAAAGTGCATCACACTCAGACTTCTTATTTGAAACATGACAAACATGCACGCCGAGTCCTTTTGTCACATTGCCAGACAAGAATAAAAGAGTGAACTAGTCAGCTACAAACAGGATGATGACAGGAAGAGCCCCCGAGGAGCCAGAGCGTGGGTGGGATTAGTCATATCTTCCCCTCAACACACCTGATCGTATGCTGGTTTGTGGTGGATGTACGGCTTCTCGTAGAGGCTGCTGGTGCTTCTCTCCGTTTCAGGTCTCTCTTGGGATATGGGTTTTACATCTATGCAAAACTCAGGATACTGCAAATAAAAGGTTTCGTAGCCTCCTGAGGAGAAAGAAGCAAACAAAGAAATGTCAATTAATAGGGCTCAGAAGTGTGTGTGTGTGGGGGGGGAGGGAATAGTTTAATTGTTCCTGATCGTCAATTAATTTGAGGCTGTGATAGTTCTCACTGCATGATGAACATTTTATGAATAAGTGGGGAAGTTTTTCCTACCACAGCTAAACAGGGTTCAAAATTAGCAGGGCGCCAGGCGCTTTGTGCCTGAAGATTCTCCATTTGCGAGCATCTACAAAAGTCTGGGTGCCATTTTTTGCACTTGGCTGACCCTCAAGGATTACTGAAATGTATGTGCTTTGAAGCCTCAAAATTTCTGTTAAGGAGTTTAACAATAAAGATACAGCGTTTTGAAAACTGAGGTGCGGTACCAATATTTTTATTGTAAATACCAAATTAAACATGTACTGTATTAACAATTTCTGCTAAAAATGTGATACAGTGGTACCTCGGGTTACATACGCTTCAGATTACATACGCTTCAGGTTACAGACTCCGCTAACCCAGAAATAGTGCTTCAGGTTAAGAATTTTGCTTCGGGATGAGAACAGAAATCGGGCTCCCGCAGCGTGGCAGCAGTGGGAGGCCCCATTAGCTAAAGTGGTGCTTCAGGTTAAGAACAGTATCAGGTTAAGTACGGACCTCCGGAACGAATTAAGTACTTAACCTGAGGTACCACTGTACAGTGGTACCTCGGGATGCGAACGGGATCTGTTCTGGAGCCCTGTTTGCATCCCGAACAGAACGTAAGATGTGACTGCGCGTGCTGCGTTTCGCTGCTTCTGCGCATGACATCATTTTGACCGTCTGCGCATGTGCAAGCTGCGAAACCCGGAAGTAATGCACTCAACCTGAAGTGTATTTATCTTGAGGTATGACTGTATTAACAATGTGTCACTTGCGTATTAATTCATGCTCATCAAAATAATAAATAAAAAGTGTTGCTGACATGCACCCCCACCCATGGCGACTAGACATTCTGTTGCGGCGCTCACAACCCAGATCCCAGGAGCCATTTGGCTCCTAGCTTTTCTATCCCATTTTCTAACACTGCAGCTAAATAGCCACAATCAAAAGAAAAACAGTACGGCAGTTAAAGGTTAGTGAAATCAGCTGACTCTGTTTCAAAGATCAAGACTAACACCATTATCATACAGCTTCATGTTTGTATCCATTTGAGGCAGGGCAAGTTCCGAGAGGCTGTTCTGTACTGATTAATAACTTCCATTCTGTTGTGTTATGGTAAATGAAATGGATCCATTAAGAGCCATAAAACTTAATTAAATCCTATGATGGGATCAGACAACAAAACAGCCCCAGATGAGTGCTCTTTTTTTTTTTTAAACAACTGTGAGATAAATTAGTTAAGTTCTCTGCACAATTGGTGAAAATGAGTGTATCTGTTAAGCTCAGACCTTGGATGAAATTGTGAAGCATGCAAATCAGCTACACCTTCAGCAAACCTGTGCTTTCAAACACAAGTTATACTACATGGATTTCTATGTCTTTTGTTCAGGTCTCTGAAAGGATATGTTTACTTGGGAAACAAAGCCCATAACTTGTTTCAGTGAATAACTGTCATGAAAAGTGCTGTACTGCACTGCTACATCTTCTCAAAGATAAATTGCAGCAATGGATCAATTGACGTTCTGAAACTCTACCTAAGGGATCACACCTAGGATCTTACAAGCCTGCATTTTAAACCCTTCTCTCTTAAGATTTCTATTCTGCTACATATTCTATGCCATGGGTAGGCAAACTAAGGCCCGGGGGATGGATCCGGCCCAATCGCCTTCTAAATCAGAATCATGAGTAGAATGTGTCCTCTTATTTAAAATTCATCTCTGGGTTATTTGTGGGGCCTGGCTGGTGTTTTTACGTGAGTAGAATTTGTGCTTTTATTTAAAATGCATCTCTGGGTTATTTGTGGGGCATAGGAATTCATTCATTCCCCCCCAATATAGTCTGGCCCCCCACAAGGTCTGAGGGACAGTGGACCCGCCCCCTGCTGAAAAAGTTTGCTGACCTCCTGTAATCTATGTCCTTGAGTAGCTGTATGCTGAAACATTCTTAGCAGGATATTGACAGTGAGGAAATACAGAACTAAGGAGCCAGTCCAAAGTCAGTGGAAGTGTGGGCTTCAGTAGATTCCATGGAGCCTCTTTTACAGATTCATTTAATCCAGCCAGAATGCAGAAGCTTAATTATCCTGCATTTAAAATTCCAGTTCACCCTTGTTAAAAGCTACTAGCTGAGCCTTAAAAAAAAATTAACAGAGAATGTGTCCCCTTATCAACTAAAGTTCTGAATATTGTTTTAAAAAAAGATTACATTGATCTATCACATATTTGCTGAAGGAGAAAAAAATTATCCTTATCACTCAGCAGAATGGGAGAAGACACAACTATTCTGGAGCAACAGCTCATTTCAGAGTACTGTGGTCAACTGAACAGGGCTCTGTATGGGTTTTCAAGAAGGCCGTGAAAACGGGTATTGTTAGAAGCCAGCTTTTCTCCTCGACCTTGTTCTGAAATATAATGCTATTTCATTCCACATCCTCTTTCTATAACTCCTGACAGTTTGTTTATAGTGATGTTATATGCTGAGCTTTCCTCAATTTTATGCCCATGGATTCACAAACCAAGGGAACCAGCCAAACGGATTTCTCTTGGGTGGCTGGTGCCTTTGCTCAGGAGGCTAATAGAAAACCAGGAGTCTTTGGGGATCAGGAGATTTGCAGGCAGTTCTTAAAGTGAGTCACCTTTTCAAGTCCTCCAGCTCTCTCTCTCACAAACACAGGCACACACTTCTGCTCCCCCACTGGCTGAACTCTGTTGCTATTATTTCTGCTAATGCTACATTACTCATCTTGTGAGAGGGGTAGGCTTCATTTTCACCACCAATGATTAAAATCCTATGCATAACAAAGTGGCAGAAGAATCCAGCATTATTTTTATTGACATTTACAGCTGCAGCCGCTCTCATGAAAAATGACTGCTTTATTTTATAGGTGGGGGAACGAGCCCACACTAGACCCTTTGAGGATGCCCCCTGCCCAAGGCTGACAATTTAAACGATAAAGCCTATCACAAATTTAAACATTGCCACATATGAAATACAATGAATTAACGAGGGCTGGAAGTTTATATAAAAAAGGGGGGGGTGCTGAAAAGGATTGTGTCATTCCGCAGTAAAAACAATTCCCTGAAGAGCGAGGCTGCGTTTATGGCGGCTGACAAGAGTTCTGACTCACACCTTTATCTCACTAGGACTGCCTAAGTTCAACCCCAATTGGAAAACTTCGTTCCATTCAACCGTGAATTTTCTCTCTCATGTCACAGTTCAGACAAAACCCTTGGGATAAACCCCGGGACTCTTCTGTTACTTCATAGTGAACATTCAAACGGAACTAAAAATATAGCAAGAGTCTCAAGAGCTTGTGACTCACACAGAATTCGCCAATTTAGCCAGCTTCTGGAAGATGGAAACCTGTGGCAACAACAGAGCGTTCTATTTAAGGATGTGCAACTTAAGATTGCATTCAGACTACAGGCTTGCTTTTCAAAAAGACAAGTTTCCTACTGTGGCAGCACACTCTTAAATGCTCTTCATTTTCGTTTTATAAAATCACTTGCTATCGGCAGGCAGTTTTGGCTGCTTACATGCCATGCCTTTAAAGTATATTCAATGCGTGTTCTTGACTTCAGAATTCTGGGCACTGTAGTTCCCAGCAACCCTTTTAACCAGCTACTGTGCCCATAATTCTTTGGGGAGGGGGGAGAATATGCTTTAAAGGTATGGGGTCTACATAGATGGACTAGAATAAAAGCGAGCTCTTTAAATGTGGATTGGAAGAATTCAAAGCAAATAGCCGCACAGAATTTGCCATACCAGCATGCCTAAGGACTGGATAGCAAGAAGTCTTTGCGGGGGACGGGACTTTGATATGATTGGCATCCAGAAGAATATTCTGCTGTAGGCAAAGCCACCAAATAACCCAAAGCTGCACCAAGTTGTGAACACTGTCTTAAAATAAAAAGGTTTCTTATCTTGCAATATGTAGGGGAGGAGGGTGAAGAGAGCTGCAGCCAAGCTTCAGGGTGGCAATAAGGAGCTTTGGAAGGGAACGTATTAGCAGCTTCACCTCATGAAGTTTGTGGTGCAAAGGTCACTCCTTGAAAGAAAGCGGTACCACTACCACATTCCTCCGCCCCACACCTGCTTAGCTCCATAGATAGGGGCCACAAGACTTCTACAATCTTTCTGTACATCTACGTTCTTTATATATAGGGGTAAGGGCAAATGTGAAGTCCACTTGAATTAGGCACACACTGTATGCAGAAAGTTTGCTTCATGCTCAGTGATAAAAATAGACTGCCATTTTCACACAAGGAGGATCGAACCTGCAGGCAGTCTGCATAAAAACATGCAGCACCTTTAACAGGACCAGCTTCCATATTAACTCTCGGTCCTATTCTGCTACATACAAAGGGGCAATTGTTTACTTTTCCCACTCTTACAATTTAGGTGGAAAAGAGGTTGGCATCTATGACCGTTGGCATCTGCCTGTCTTGGGAGACACTGGAAGAGTGTGCATTGACATCTATATTTCTTTTTAATTTCGTAATTTACAGGAAACTGCCCTTTAGAGGGCACTGCTGAGTTTTTACACTGCTGAACTCCTTTTTATTAAAAGAGCAGGGGCATTATTATGTATTATAAACCTTGGTTTCTACCTCCAACCCATCCCATGTATTAGTATACAGCATTTCCGATAAATTTATTCAAAGATTATAGTATTACTGAGCAGGCCAGGAACACTTTAATAGGGTCCAGCATTTTGGAGTTTGGGATACTTGCTGGTGTCCACAGGGGTAATTTATTCTACAACTCTGAATCCCCCCAATCCCACATTTCTCTTTAGATGAACGTTTGATATTTTAACCCAGTGAGGAAGTGAGGATGCTGACCGTAATTAGTCACGCAAGTTTCCCTTCACTAGACAACTGAACATCATTTCAATGCACCTATTCAATTTTAAGTTGTTTTATTTTCACCACCAGCCGATTTATCTCTTGTCCGTTGATGGGGAAAACTTTGGGGAGACTATGGAAAGGGGGAAAATACAAACCATTTCTCTGTCTATATCCACCCAGCAGCAGCAAACCTCTAGTCATGATTCCCTACGCCGTGCGAGTGCATTCGCACTCTCCAAGACACACGTTGCTTTAGGCGAGGAACGCACTGCCTCCCTCGAGATCTGCAAAAGCTTTGCAACCCGGCATTCCTTATCCAACATCAGCGCCTCCTCCTCAAACACTAACGGGCGGGGGGGGGGGTCTCCAGGTTCCTGGCATCGGATGCTGAGGGGACGGGCTGATTCGCGTGAAACTATTATTGCATTCGCGTTAAATTAAGTTAAGAAAACAGGCGAGGCGAGCCTAGCAGGGCCAGACTTCGGTCGGCGGACGTCCTAACCAAAAGCGCGAGGAGGCAGAGGAACAGAAGGCGGTTACACCTCTCTGGCTTCCCGATCGCTTCTCTCTTTCCTACCCAGAGATCTCGCCTTCTAGGGCAGGCAGGGGGGTCCGGCTCCTTAGCCGTCGTGCAGGCGAGGGAAATGACTCGCAGAACTCTTTGGCCGGGAGAAGAGGCTCCCGCCAGACTCCGCCACTAAAGCAACCCTCCAAAGCCCTCGCCTCTCCCCCTCGGGCCGCCCCTCACCTCGCAGGAAGCAGACCCTCGCTCCGGTCTCCGGCAGGCTGGCCAGCAGCGTGTTCAGCACGATCTGCGCCGTGCTCTCCTTCTTCAGCTTCCGCCAGTGCCGGGTGTTTTGATCCAGGACGACCACGGCCGTCAGCAGCCGCCGGGAGGGCACCGCAGCGTCCCCTTCCCTTTCCTCCTCTTCCTCCTCCGGGCAAGCCCCAGGTAGGAGCAGCCGCCCTCGGGCCGCTTCGTCGGGCACCACGAAGTGCAAGGGCACGGGCCGCCCGTGGGCGCGGCGGATCACCACCGAGTTGAGGTTCACGTTCAGCGATCCGCGGAGGCAGGAGGCCGAGTAGGAGAGGTACGGTCTGCAATCCAAGACCAGGCAGCCGGCGGGCTCCTTCCGCAGGAGCTGCTTGAGCTGCCGGGAGTCAAGAGCGGTTACCTTCATCGTCGCCTTCTGCCCCCTATAGTTCCCTTCCCTCGGGGAGGCTCGGGAAAGTAGCGCAGCCAGGCAGCGATTAAACTAAGCGGGTCTGGAAACAGGCACCCCGCCTTTTTTTTGCTTTTAAAACGGAGCCGGAGGGGCTGCCAACCCGCTTCCTTTTAATGCCCCTCCTGGCTGCGGCGCGCCCCTCCCAGCCTTTGCATTTCCCTTCGCGTAACTCCGGTCAGGGGATTCCGCTTACAAGAAGAGGCAATTTATCTGAATGAAACGCCGGAGCCGCGCGGCGCTGTCCATATAAGGCGACTGACGTCACAGAAACGTTCCTAAACTGGCACGCCTCTTCTTGCTAAGCCGTGCCCGCTCGCGGAGAGAAAGAGAGAGAGAGAGGAGATTCCCTCCCCCAGGAAGAGGGAACGCAGAGGCGATGCTCAGTAAAGCGTTAGTCAGACTTCTTGAAGCAAAGGAAGTTGAAGAACGCCTCAGAAATTCTCTAGTCATCAGAAAGCCCTCCTCACACTCACACTCACTCAATCATCACTTGCTTCCGTCGACTTACTAAGAGAGGGAAGGAAGTGCGATGGTGGCGGTGATGATGGTGGTAGCTGCGGGGAGCAGAGGTTGCTCGCTGCTCAAGTTGCAGTGGGCAGGCCCTTAAGCTGCCCAGTGCAGGCCGCAGTTATTAAAATGGCTAAAAGTGGGGATGCAGACGGATGAAAAACAGCCCCTGTTGAATTTCTGTCTGTCACACAGCTGTTAAATGGACAGATGATATATAGGCATGTGCAAAGGGCTTAGCATAGGTTTTGGGGAGGGCTGGTTTTAGCACATCTCATCCCACACAAGACACCTTGGGATGCTACCATTTTAGCAGGGCAGGTTCCAGAGAAGAAGAAGAGCTTGGATTTGATATCCCTCTTTAGCACTACCCGACGGAGTCTCAAAGAGGCTAACATTCTCCTTTCCCTTCCTCCCCCACAACAAACACTCTGTGAGGTGAGTGGGGCTGAGAGACTTCAGAGACGTGTGACTGGCCCAAGGTCACCCAGCAGCTGCATGTGGAGGAGCGGAGACGCGAACCCGGTTCCCCAGATTACGAGACTACCGCTCTTAACTGGCTCTCAGAGGCAGCACAGTTTTCTTTGCTCCAGGAGTAGGGTAGATGTGTGGTGGTATGCCTTTCTTGACAGAAACTACATTATTATTATTAGAAAGTATCTGTTTGAAAACGGGAGTAAGCTCACATAAAGTCCTATGTAGAGAAACATTTTATGCGAAAAGGGAAGAAGCAAACTCTCTTAAGCACTGTAGTACACAGTTTAGCAATGACTTGAGGATGGTTTTATTACGTATGTGTTGTTTACACATTGCTTCATCCAGGCTTGTAAAGAATGTACCATTTTGATTTCATGCAAACCATACGGGCAACTGCTGCTTTGTCATGCACTGATCTCAACTAGTCTTTAGGGCAGACTACCAGAGTTAGGAGACCAGGATGACCATGTTAGGTGGAAGGCACCTGTGTATTTTAAAATCCTTTGATTATCCCTTGGCAGTCTTCTCCCACTTCTCTTAATGTGGATCACCACCATTCACAAGTTCTGCCTTCCTCAACTGAAAAGTCACCATGTACCTTTCCAATTAGTACAGGAAAACATATTCCCTCACTGGCCTGCCTATTCCTGGTGCTGGCCTGCCAGCAGACTCAGATGTAATACAGAGCGTAGCCATACTTCTCTGAATTACCGTACCTGCCCACCCATCCTTGTCTCTGAGGCAAAATTTTAGTCAATTTCACTTCTGCAAGTCAAACTCACTGTCATTTCCCCAGCTCTGTCCCCAACAGTATTTTTGTGAGAAAGAGAAGCCTTTAAGCATCTGCAACGATGACATCTATGGACAGCTTCATGAGAAGGAAGAGTCTAGGGGTAAGTTTCCTGACATTCCTCAGGCATCCTGTGTGTGGGGGTTTTCCATATGTGTTTGGTTGGCCACTAGTTGATGAGAACAAGAGGCTAGATCTGACAGACCTTTGGTCTGATCCAGCAGGGCTGTTCCTATGCTCTTTTGAAAAAATCAAAACTGTACTGTTCATTCCAGTGTATGGCTTTTTAAACAAAACACCTTAGATAGGTGAGACAGCTAAGGGATAGGTTTCCAGTTTCACGGACATGGTAATAGAACAAATTGAGTCCCCAGTGTGGTACAGTAGTTAGAATGTTAGATTGGAGCCTGGGAGACCAGGGTTCCAATCCCCAGGGCTCACTGAGTAACTTTGTACTACTCCCAGACTCCCAGACTAACCTATCTCACAAGATTGTTGTGAGAATAAAACAAGGAGGAAAAGAACCATGTACTCTTCCTTGAGCTCTTTGGAGGGAAAGGTGGAATATAAACATTGTGTGTGTGTGTGTGTGTGTGTGTGTGTGTGTGTGTGTGTAAAGAATAAGCATACATCTCAGATGTATTTTCTTTTATTAGAGCAGCATGGGTGTAATATCATTGGGTAAGAAAACCCACTGCCCAGGGTGTGGGTTCAGTCATTTTTGTTGATGAGTGTGCTGCATTTATAGTTCATAAAAATATATGAGGAGAGATCCCAATGCATTACAAGGCATTGGGAAGAAGAGTCAGAACTTGAGAAAGACACTCACTCCCTGTACAAATACATTTGAATGCAGAAAGCAAGGAGATTAAAAAATAAAATGATGCTTTCTGACCCCTTTGGCTCCTGTCCTTCATAACTGATCAGCCTCCAGCACTTAAGGAAAAACCTGAAGTGTGCATCCCCTCTGTGAGGCCACCAAGTGCTTCTGCTCATAGCTCAGCACTTCTGTAGTGGGAGGAGAAGTTAAAAGGTGAAAAAATACTCTATCCAAATAGGGATAACAACTCTATGGTGGTGGTAGCGGAGGACTAAGAATGAACTTGAGACAGAAAGCATGTGCTCACAAGTGACACACAAATGCACAAAGATTGAAATATGATTATAAAACCACCTTCCCCTAGGTCAGTGGAGCTGAATTTTCTCTCTCTCCATAGACCACTTGAAAACTGCAGAAGGTCTTGGCAGACCAATTAATGGTTGTTCTGCCTGTTGTAGCAACTGTACTTCCACAGAATTCAAATTGTAATGCAATAAAATACAATAAAAATCAATGAGGAACATTCAATCAGAAATCCACAGACATGCCATGGACCACCTGAATGAAGCTCGTGGACCACTGGTGGCCCATGGACCACAGTTTGGGAACTCCTATCTGTCTTTCACAGGACACAGGCTCAAACGTGCTTTTTAAGTGGCATGTGTGGCTTTGGCCATAGTTTATAAAGAAACATATTGGGCAAAGCTCTCTAAAAGAAAGTACCTCCCTTCCCCACTTCTTTTCCTTTCCTTGTTCTTTCGCTTTTCCCATTTCCTGTATGGCAGCCCAGGGAGGTCTTATGTGAATGTCAGCCTGAGTGAGCCCTGACACACAGGATGCCTGAGGAATGTCAGGAAACTTACCCCCAGACTCTTCCTTCTCATGAAGCTGTCCGTAAATGCCATTGTTGCAGATGCTTAAAGGCTTCTCTTTCTCACAAAAATACTGTTGGGGACAGAGCTGGGAAAATTACAGCGAGTTTGACTTTTGTTAAAGATTCCTCCCTTATCATATCAACAGTCCCTGTGAAACAGAGGGAGGAAAGCCAAGGGGAAATCACTCTTCTGATTCAATTTTAGGCAGCCTTTGCTGGTTGCCTTAGCAAGGAAGGGGAATACATTTAAGATGGCAACAGGGCCACCATTTACCATCTTCTCCTTTCGCATAGAGAAATCCAGGTTTCCTCAGAAGTATGAGCCTATGGCTTTCCTAAATTTGCTTTCCTATATATTTTATTTAGGATATATACTGTAAAGAGCGTTTTCTACACAGAGTCAAATCAAGGATACACCCAGCCCAGTAGGTCTCACAAAAAAGTGTCTCTCAGTCCTCTTATCCGAGATCCTATTAACTGGAAATGCCAAGGTTTGCATCTGGGACCTTATAGCTCCAACACTGGGCAACAACGTTCGCCTAATATTTGTTGTGTCTAGTTAAGTGTCAAGTGCAGCCTGATCATTTGCTAAAGTTCTCTGTGAGCCACATCCTGGTCTTTTACTCTTCAGCCCAGGGGTGGGGAATGTGTAGCCTTCTGGGTGCTGCTGGACTCCAGCTCTCATCAGCCCCAGCTAGTATGGCTAATGATAAGGAATGATGGAGTTGGGAGGGCGACATCTGGAGGGCAGTAGGTTCCCCACCCCTGATTTAGCCAGTGCTTTAATGAAACCCGTAACACTATTTCATTATTACCAATGTGCATTTCCCCCCTTAAAGATCTATCTTCTGAAGTCACAAGGTTCTTAGAAGTATATATACAATATTAGTCTCCCTTCAAGTGAGGTAACCTTTCTAAGAAACCAAGGCAGGAATAACAAACATGGAGCCTTTCAGATGTTTTGGACTTTAACTCACACCATTCCTGATCATTGGCCATGGTGGCTGGGGCTGATGGGAGTTGTTTTCTATAATCTTCAGAGGGATCTATGTTGGCTATTCTTGTACTATGGACTATTCATACACTATGGGCTGTGTAACAGCTGCAATCCACGTAACTGCTTGGTGACCTGCCCTGGAGCTCACAGCTACCTCAGAGAGCCACTAGAATGGCTTTTAATAGATGATCATAAGATGAGGACTCATTCTGTCATTAGAGAAGGATGCTTTGGGACTGAGCCCATCAGCTCCCATATGAAAACCCAGTATCAATATCTAACCTTTGCTACTGTAAAACCCAGTTCCTATGGGCGCCTACACCAGCAGGGTAAACAACAAAAACACCCTGTTCTCATGAAAGCGATTTATTACGTTTTCTAGAAAGCCTGGGGTTAAGCCAACGCATAGGGGTATTAAGGAATGAGGGTCATAACAGATGCTTCCCCTTTGGCGTGACTCATCTGTGCTTGTGTTTCACTTCTAGCAGGTTGCTAAACTGAGAAGTGAAAAAGGAGGTGCTTTTTTATTATTAAGGGAAATGCTGTGTAAGAAAAATACCCCAGCTTAGGTAGGAAATTCCCCTTCTTTCTCCTGTCAAACAATATCTCCTCCTTCTTCCCCATTTTGCTGCCGTGGGATTTCTCCCCATGACCGGGCTCCTGGTGATTTTGACACCTGTAAATGGAGAAGAATGTCAGTACCTCTGGCTTTTCCAG